GGTCCCCACGCTCCCTGCCCTCTGCAAACATCACCCCCCTGTGCCCCTGCCCATGAGGGCACAACCCTCCACCTTTACCTCCTCCAAGCCATGTGCCTGATCCAACTTTGGGTGAAATATGGACCAACATCTTTCGGGAGCCCTTTGTAGGTGCTTTGGGAAATGCTCCTCTAGCGCTCTCCCTTGGGCCAGGGTGGCACCAAGAGGCAGGGTTTGGGCTGGGGGTGCTGGGCAGGGGGGTGGGTGACCGGGGGGGCTGAGCATGGCCATCTCTTCCCCAGGCAGTGCGCAGCTACATGAGGACAGAGTGCAAATGCCACGGGCTGTCGGGCTCCTGCACCTTGCGGACCTGCTGGCGGAAGATGCCCCATTTCCGCGAGGTGGGGGACCGCCTGCTCGAGCGCTTCAACGGGGCTTTCAAGGTGATGGGGGGCAACGACGGGAAAACCCTCATCCCGGTGGGCGACAACATCAAGCCGCCCGACAAGCAGGACCTCATCTACTCGGCCGACTCTCCCGATTTCTGCTCGGCAAACCGTAAGACGGGCTCGCTGGGCACCCGGGGCCGGGTCTGCAACAGCACGGCCATGGACACCAGCGGGTGCGACCTGCTGTGCTGCGGGCGGGGGCACCGGGATGAGACGGTGGTGCTGGAGGAGAACTGCCTCTGCCGCTTCCACTGGTGCTGCGTGGTGCAGTGCCGTAAGTGCTCCGTCCGCCAGGAGCTCAGTCTCTGCGTCTGACGGCCCGGGGTCGGGCGAGGACAATTTAGGGGGGCCACCCCTCAGGGTCACACTACGCGTGTGTCCCTCCCCACCCCGTCCTGGGACAGATCCAGGCTGAGCCGGTGGTAGGGATGGTGGGGGTGAGCCCAGCTCTGCACCCCAGGGAGTCCTGGCTTCCCCAGGGGACAGCGTGGGGCTGCCTGGTGTCCCCACGGTCCCCGCGGGGGGGTCTGTGGGTGCAGAGCTTCCACTAATAAAGCTATTTAAAGCCGGTGTGCTGCAGCGCTTCCTGGGGAGGGCTGGGAAGTGCTGACCACCTTACTGGGAAGGGACCGGCCGGAGAGCTGTCCTGCCCTGGCCGTGAGTCCCAATGTGCTGGACTCCCTCCAGCCTCCTCTCCGTGCTGGCCATGCAGAGCCCAGCTCATCTTTCATCCACCCTTTGCTCTCCTCCACCATGTAGAGCCAGGAGATGAGTGTGGATGAGGGTGAGCACCTTCCTGCCCTGCTCCACAGCCTGGGGAGGGTGTGCTCTCCTCCCATCATCCATGGCCACCGTCATTGAGAGATGACACTTTGTGTTCTGCCACCACCTGACCTGGAATATTCGTGATGAACTGCAGTCTGTGGTCCTCTCCATGCAGGAGGTAAAGCTAGCTGCCCTGACACCATAGTGATAGGCTGTGAGTTTCCTGAAGGTGTCTTCTCTTCTTTTCACATGCCTTCAGCCACCCTCACTGCAGTCTCCGCCGTGATGCCTGGCACGGAGAAGCCCTGTGTGGCGCTGGCACCGTCGGCTTGGTGGCATGCAAGGCATTCACTTGGCCTGCCATGGGCCACGTGCAGCCTCACCTGGCCGGCATGGTGCCAGGCATGTCTTGGTAACCTGATAAGCCTGTGCCCCTCATGGGCAAACACAGGGTGAGGAGCAGCCCGCCTGGCTGCCCAGCTGGGCAGGCTGCCATCCCTCTGCTTCAGGGGGTCTCTGAGGGGGTCCCTCGTGCTGCAGGGAGACCACAGGAGCTGGCTCCTCCAGCCTTCCTGAGCGTGGGGGTTTAGGAAACTGCAGAGGGGAACTGTTTGGCTGGCAATGCCACACTGGGCAGAGGAGCCCCCGAGGGATGTCAGCAGAGGCAGAGCCTGGGCAGAGAGGTTCATGCTCCCGCCATGCTGTAACAACACAGGGCATGAGGGGGCTTTGCCTGTCCACCCCCTGCAAAAGAGCTACTGGGGCTCTCAGAGGAGGTTGGCAATGCCCTGTGTGTTGGGTACTTCCAGGAACAGAGCTCGCAGCGCTGGGCACGCTGCAGGGCAAGGGGAGCAGCAGTGGGGTGAAGCCCACCAGCAGGTCCCTCCTCTCCCACCCTCGTGGGGAAGGGCAGGAGAAGCAGGGTGCTGGCGAACCATTAACTTGGCTCAGCAAGTGCTGCGGTGGGAGCCTCCGAATGTGACGGCTGGAGCTTTGCAGCTGGAAATTCCCTCCTGGCTTCCCCACAACAGGGCTGGGAGAGGGGAGGCACACGGGGCTCCCGGGAACTCCCGGCCACGTGCCCACCCTTTGGAAACCACAGATGGGTGTGAGTGGGGCTGGGTGAAGGTACCTGTGCATGCAAGCAGCTCAGTGTGGGTGTGCCTGCGCGTGCAGGTAACACGTCTCTGAGTGCTCGTGACCATACGTGTGCGTCTGAGCTTATGTGCACTCCCGTCACTGTGTGTGTGAACCCCTCACGGGTGTGTAAAAAAGTTGACCTGCGTGTCTTCATGTACGTCCCTAAACACACGGCAAATTGTCAGCGTGTGTGTGCCGGTGACACCGTCCCTGTGTGTGCCTGTGCGTGAGCATGTTTGTTTGCACGTGTCTCACTGTGTTTGTGCAGGTGTGTCTGGGACAGGGAGGACATGCGTGGGTGCAGGAGGGGAGCTGCAGGGTCTGTGTGCTGGGAGATGTGGGCACCCATTTCGTAGGCTGACCGGGTTCCTTGGAATTAGAAACACCGGAGAGCACCTCAAGCCCTGGGAGCTCAGGGAGCTCAGTGCAGGCAAGTCCTGTGACACTTTGGGTCACCCGTGCTCTCTACCAGAGCCATCCCAGGTTGAGGCCAGTTATACTGGGTGATTCTGGGTCTCTCTCTGAGATATCAGAGTGCATGGGTTGAGCCCGGTAGAGCTCCCTCCCAGCTCTGACCTTCAGCAAGGTCTTTCTCTGGAATCTGCCTCAGTTTCCCCACAATGGACTATTTTTACGCTCCTGGCTTCATAGACATGAATCTGGAGGTCTGAATCATGGATAAACCCTGGGGAAGACAGGTAGTTCTTGTGAGTAGAGGGATCTGACCTTATGAGGGGGCTTTGCCTGTCCACCCCCTGCAAAAGAGCTACTGGGGCTCTCAGAGGAGGTTGGCAATGCCCTGTGTGTTGGGTACTTCCAGGAACAGAGCTCGCAGCGCTGGGCACGCTGCAGGGCAAGGGGAGCAGCAGTGGGGTGAAGCCCACCAGCAGGTCCCTCCTCTCCCACCCTCGTGGGGAAGGGCAGGAGAAGCAGGGTGCTGGCGAACCATTAACTTGGCTCAGCAAGTGCTGCGGTGGGAGCCTCCGAATGTGACGGCTGGAGCTTTGCAGCTGGAAATTCCCTCCTGGCTTCCCCACAACAGGGCTGGGAGAGGGGAGGCACACGGGGCTCCCGGGAACTCCCGGCCACGTGCCCACCCTTTGGAAACCACAGATGGGTGTGAGTGGGGCTGGGTGAAGGTACCTGTGCATGCAAGCAGCTCAGTGTGGGTGTGCCTGCGCGTGCAGGTAACACGTCTCTGAGTGCTCGTGACCATACGTGTGCGTCTGAGCTTATGTGCACTCCCGTCACTGTGTGTGTGAACCCCTCACGGGTGTGTAAAAAAGTTGACCTGCGTGTCTTCATGTACGTCCCTAAACACACGGCAAATTGTCAGCGTGTGTGTGCCGGTGACACCGTCCCTGTGTGTGCCTGTGCGTGAGCATGTTTGTTTGCACGTGTCTCACTGTGTTTGTGCAGGTGTGTCTGGGACAGGGAGGACATGCGTGGGTGCAGGAGGGGAGCTGCAGGGTCTGTGTGCTGGGAGATGTGGGCACCCATTTCGTAGGCTGACCGGGTTCCTTGGAATTAGAAACACCGGAGAGCACCTCAAGCCCTGGGAGCTCAGGGAGCTCAGTGCAGGCAAGTCCTGTGACACTTTGGGTCACCCGTGCTCTCTACCAGAGCCATCCCAGGTTGAGGCCAGTTATACTGGGTGATTCTGGGTCTCTCTCTGAGATATCAGAGTGCATGGGTTGAGCCCGGTAGAGCTCCCTCCCAGCTCTGACCTTCAGCAAGGTCTTTCTCTGGAATCTGCCTCAGTTTCCCCACAATGGACTATTTTTACGCTCCTGGCTTCATAGACATGAATCTGGAGGTCTGAATCATGGATAAACCCTGGGGAAGACAGGTAGTTCTTGTGAGTAGAGGGATCTGACCTGAGTTCTCTCTGCCATTGCCCCAAATCACTGCTTCTGAAGAGAGGTCTGAATCATGGATAAACCCTGGGGAAGACAGGTAGTTCTTGTGAGTAGAGGGATCTGACCTTGCCATTGCCCCAAATCACTGCTTCTGAAGATTGGAGACCACAAAAGAAAGAACGTGGAAAGAGGAGAAGCTGGAGAATGGAGCTAGTGAAGGAGCAAGAGATTCTCACTCGGAGTGAGGCACATAGCCATTGATTATGGGGTGATGCCTCCGCACCTCCAGGATATCTCCAAGTGCCCTGGCCTGCTGTGGAGGACAGTTAGCTCTTGTGGGGGCTGTCAGCTCCCTGCCACTGCTCCCTCATGGCCCTGATCTGGCAGAAATCTATTCCCTTGGTAGCCAGAAGAAGCCCTGGCATCACCACGCATCACCTGGCAGGTGATGCTGGTAGCCAGACAGCGTCTGTAACTTGCCCAGTAGCCTGGAAAGGGCTGAACATCCAGCAGAGCCACCCTAGCAATCTCCCAGCTCCTCAGCCCCCTAGCAGTCCCCCGGCTCCTCCGACCTCCAGGAGCTACCCAAGAGCTCCCTATCCACTAGGACCCCATCCCAGACTCTTAGAAGCACCCCAGCAGTTCCCAGGACTTCCCCAGGTCCCCAGCAGTGCCCCAGACTCCTAGAAGTCCCCCCAGCTCTCCAGACCCCCTGAGAGCCCGCTGAAACCCCTCAAAAGCGTTCAGGTCCCAGCCCCGGGTGGGGATGGGGGCCGCAGCATCCTCGCCGTCACCGTGGCAACCCGGGATGCGGGGCGGGGCCGCGGGCACGGCTCAGGGCGGCCGCCAGGGGGCGCTGCGGCACGGCACGGAACGGAGGGGCGGGGGGAAAGTTTGCGTGGGGGGTGCGTATGGGAGAGCACAGTGGGGAGTGTATAGGGGTGTGTGTAGGGTGTATATTTATGGGGGGGGTTGTGCATGGGATTGTACTTGGGAGGGAGCATGCATGTGAGTATGTCAGAGCCCCCCCAGTTCCCTCCCAAACTCTCAGCCCCATGCCCTTGGGGGCAGTGCTCAGGCAGGCCCCAGCTCTAGGGGTGGGAGCCATGGAGGGGGGGGCTGGTGTGAGCCAGGGGTGCACAAGGGGTGGCTGTGGGGGTGCCATGGGGGGTGTAGCTGTACATGTGCGTGTGTAGCCCAGATCCCTGGTGCTGGGCAGTTTACATTGCAAAACTTGCAGGATCTTCCCAAGGGAAAAAAAAAAGAAAGTTTATAATATCTGGGGTTAAAAAAAAAAAAAAAAAGAATCCCAGAATCCCAAACCTCTGTAACATTAATGGCTTCGTTTTATTTTTATTTGTTTTTCAAATGGGAAGAGCACAATTTTCCCTTCAATTGCCCAAGTTTAAAACAGCCGGACAGATTAATTCAATCAAACTTGGGAAAAAAATATCCCTCTGGACTGAGACCAAATATAGGATGTTTTTGCCAAAAAAAGAAGCTTTTTAGGAAAGTTTGGAGTAACGCAGATAGGCCTGTGAGGGGGAGGCTGAGAAACCCGGATACCAGCTCAGCCAAGGGAAGGCTCAGATGGCAGCATCCGAAACCTCTGACAAACCCCTTTCTCATGGTTGGGGTCCCTCTGCCTGCTCTCCGAGCAGGGGGGTGCCCAGCTGGTGGAGCTGGGTCCCAGCCAGGGCTCCTGCCTGCCCAGCCCTGCTCTCCCAAGAGGCCTCTAACTCTCCTTCTCCAGGCTCTGCTGCTCCCTCCAGGGAGCTGCCAGCAACTGTCCTCCTCTGTCCCTGCTCCAGCTCCCGTGACAGATGTCACCCATGCAGCCACGGGGTCACATCCACCCTGACCTGCCCAGGAGGGTCTGGCTCACCTGTGCCCGCTGTGGGGCTCTGCTGTCCCATCCCAGTGCCCTTATCCCGGCTCTGCCCTGTTCCCTGGGACAGCTCTGGTCCGTGGTGTGGCTGGGTCTGGCAGGGGGAGATGGTGCTGTGGTGGTACGGGGGGCTGTCCAGGCCAACCCTGCTGCAGCATCTCCACGCACCCAGACAAGGGGATGTGCTGGGACCTGGGGCACCCAAAGCAGGGTGCAGACAGTGCCCATGAGCCCTCAACAGGCGGGAGATGGGGTGCACAAGGACCCCCAGGCATGCTGTTTGGAGCTGCTGCCTGTGAACACGAGGGCTCTGTCCCCCAGCCTTCCCTTCCTTGACCCTCCCTGGTGTCCAGGGCTGGCCACACCGGCGTGGTGCATACATCTGTGAGGGTGGTGGACTCTTGGGGGCTGGCAGAGAGCTGGGGCAACCCCAGGGCACCCCTCAGCCCTCCTGGCATAGAGGCATCACAGAAACCTCCCCACTTCTGGGCTCTGTTTTCAACTACCAACATCTCACCTTATCCAAATCCCCTCCCAGTCCCACTGCCTCGTTACTCGCCCTCTAATGAAGGCAACAGCCATTCTCCAGCTCCAGGGAGGGGGGCTCTGACTATGCCTACCCCCGGAGAGAGGAGCTGCGGAAGAAGGGGCTGCTGAGGTGACTCCATGCCCTGCTCACCCTTCACGGGGACCAGCACCCTCCACCCAACCCCGGAGCCATGCATCCCTCCCTGCGGGGGAGAGATGCCCCAGGGCAGCACCGCACAGACGCGCTTGGCCAGTCCTGATCCAGCCACCTCCCCACCGCCCCAGCCGGCGGCTTGGTCCTTTGGGGACATGCTCTCCTTGCCAGAGGCAGGGCAAGGGCTGGGATGCCCCATCCCGGTCATACCAGCATCCCAATCAGCTTGGAGGCTGCTCTGCCACGGGGGTGTCCCCCTGCATGGCCAGTCCCTGAAGCGTTTGAGGGTCCCACAGAGGGGCTTCAACCCCTTCCCTGCACCCTGCTGCTGCTGTGGCACCCACTGCCAGGTGCTGGGAGGAGGATGAGGAGGGGGAACTATGCCTCACTGCAAGGATGCTCCTGGGAATGGCTGGAGGCAGCCGGATCCTGCCTCTCCGCCCCGACGCGGGGGGCAGCGTGGCCAAGTGTTGGGGTTGGCGTGCACCCACTGCCCCGGGCCCCGCCAGCGCCCCAGCCCCGGGCAGCCAGGAGGACTGGCCGGGCCGGCCAGGTGGCCATGAGTTTGGCTCCTGAGTCACAGCGAGCAGACTCGGGCAGGTCGCGGGGTGTGAGCCAGCGGGAGGGCAGCGATGCTGGGGGCTCCGGTGCTGCCGGGCTGGGACAGCTCGGCAACGGTGACTAAGGCTGGTGCTAAAGGCAGGGTCGCCCTGACCCCACGCCCAGCCCTGACTCACGCAGCCGTCGCTCCGGTCCTGTGGGTGCTGCTGGGCAGGGGAGCGAGGAGAGCCGTGCTGCAGGACAGCGAAGGTTGGGTGCGTGGCTGGCTGCATGGGTTCCCAGCAAACTTCTGCTTCCTCCTCTTCCTCCTCCTCAAGGGGTTGCACACCTTGCTGCAGACTGCAAGCCACGCAGCTCCCAGCACTCTTCTCTGGCCTCCAGGTCCCGGTGACATCATACTGAGGGTCTGTCCTGGTGCTTCTCCATCTCTGTCCATCCTCCTGCTCTACCATGCTGTTCTACCATGAAGTTCCCCAGTACTTCCCCCTGCACCCCTGCTATGTGTTAGCAGAACTGCCTCATCCTGTACAGATGGGCTGGACCTGGTTGTACCGGGGACCATCAGCCCCTCCAAGGCTGTGACACGGCCAGGACTGTCCTTCACTGGAGCAGGCTGGTCTCTCCCCCTACTGTCCCCTGGTCCCATCCATGGGCCTGCAGCAACTCTGTCAGATCAAGTGGGACCAGCAAAATACAACACAGAGACCCTGACTGCTGCCCTTCCCTGCTGTGGGTCTCTAGGAGGTCATCCTTGGACATCCCAAAGCCCCAGAGAAATGATCCACTCCTCCAAGGAAATGTCTGAGATTCTCCATCCAGTGCCTATGAAAACCACTGCATGATTGCCCACAGGGTTTGGAGATTTAGTTCCACTCAAATATGAGGAAGAACTTTACAGTGAGGGTGACAGAGCACTGGAACAGGCTGCCCAGGGAGGTTGTGGAGTCCCCTTTTCTGGAGATTTTCAAGACCTGCCTTGATGCAGTCCTGAGTAATGTGCTCTAGGCAATCCTGCTTAGCAGGGGAGTTGGACCAGATGATCTCTAGAGGTCCCTTCCAAGTCTGTCGAATCTGTGAGATCGCTTATCACAGGGCAGAAGGGGCCAAAGGATGGCACCTGCCAGGAGGGAGGGAGGAATAGAGTCAGCAAGCCATGGGCTGCATGGAGAGGCACTGGAAAGGGGTCCTGATGGAGACGATGACAGAAAAGCCAGCCCCATTCTTCTGGGGGTGTGGAGCCTGCAGCTTGAGATGCTGGCAGGATCTGCTCCTGCACGAAGGAAGGGGAAAGGAGCTGGGAAAGCAGTGTGAGAAATGCAGGTAGCCTGGGGGCTGGGCAGGAGGATGTGGGGTGTAGAGATGGAGGGATGGCAAAAGAGATGGAGGGACAGAGAGATAGGATGACACAGGGAAGAAGTGATGGAGATGAAGAGGAATGGACACTTCCCCAGTCCCCTGCACACAGCACATGCTCGGGGAAAAGACTGGGAGGCTTCTGAAGAGCTCACATGCTGCTGAAGGATAGGAACTCCCTGGGCAGGGAAACTCTAAGGGGTCTCTCCACTGTGCCCTGTGCCAGGAATCCCCCCATCACCATTTCTGCCCTGGCTCTGGGAGGCAACACCCTTCATGCCAGCTCTGAGCACTTCCCACATCCCTGGCTGGCCTCTGCAGAGCGTGGGGCTGCTGGAGGGTGCTGGAGATGGGAGGGAAGCTGGGAGGTGGCAGGTCCCATGGCAATGTGGTCATGTGTCCCCAACCAGGGGGACTGCAGCAGTGACAGATGCAGTGCTAAGAGGAGGCTCAGCTTTTGCCCTTAGCCCTGATGCTCCCATGAGGACCAGAGCATCCTCCACCAGCCTCGCATGCCCGCCTGCACCCACCCCTGCTCAGAAGGGCCAGATCCTGTCCCCGTTCCCGTGTCCCTGTTCCTCTGGCCACAACAGATGTTTAATCTTGTGCTTAAGGGCTTTTCCAGTGTGACGCAGAAGAAAGGCTGGAGCAAAGGGCTCACCTGGCTCTTCCTCAGCCCCGGGACGTTGCTGGGACATGAGGAAACAGGTCCTCCCCCGCCTGCCCCTGCTGTGAGTGCTGAGACGGTGGGACGCAGCGGCCAGCCTCCTCCCCAAGTCAGCAGGAGCGTGTGAGTGAGACACCCGCTCTTGGAAGCGATTATGTCATTAAGGGCTGGAGGAGGATGAAAGCGCTTCCCCTCTGATTTGCCTTGGCATTTATTTATGCGCAAGATCCTAACGAACACACAAACATATGCGCTGCTGGAGCCCGGGCGCCTGCGTCCCCGGAGTCGCAGGAGTTGCCTTCTGTTGAGAAGGAGCCCTGCTCTTGCTAGGGGACCCCCAAAAAGAGCCCCCAGGATAGCCTCTGGTGGGTCCAGGTCAAGAGCAGTGCGTGTCGGAGTGTAACTCCTGGGTAGCCTGAGAAAGCAAGGGATGGTGGTGACCTGCTGGGGACACCTGAGCCTGGCAGAGGGGGCTGCTCCCCTGCCTCCCCCCATCTGCTAAAAGGGGTCCAGCCAGCCCTTACTGGGGTTTGGAAGGGAAACGGAGCATGGGAGCTGGGTCTTGGGTGGGAGGAGGTGGAGAGGCCAGGAGCAATGGTCCCTACATCAAGGTCCAGCGACTGTCACCCCTCCAATTCCCCCGGTGTGCTCTGCTCAGCCCTGACACTGCAGCCCCCATCAGCCACAGTCTGCAGCAGGGGGACAAGCATCCTACAGCAGCAGGGTGGCTCCTGACATCACTACCAAACTCCTGTGGGACACCCCACGTCACCCACCGGGTGCCTGGGGGGGATTCAGGAGGGCAGCAGCTATGGGAGCGGTGATGCTGAGGGGATGCTGTACAAGGGATCTCTCTGGGCACTCAGGGACAGAAGGGTCTGCAACTCATCCCTCAGCCCCCCGCCATACTGCTCGGGCTGGAAAGTTGGGGGGTAGATGCCAGCCCCATGCCATTCTCCCACCTGCCCACAGCTCAGGAGCGGAGCTGGGGGGGGGCAGGAGAACAGCCAGCACCCCCAGAACTGCGAAAGGGAGCTCAGCGGGGATGCCACCGCTTGCCCTGTACCCAGAGTCCCCAAGGGGCACAGCCCAGCCTTCGGGCCCAAGCCCAGATTGCAACTCATTTCCCAAAGGAAACGCATTTTCCTCCCCGGTGCAAACAGGAACCGACACGCAAGCGGCGCTGGCAGCCCCCGCCAGCCCTGCTGTGCCGGCGCGGAGACGCGTGGTGCCCGCCCCGGGGAGAAGAGTGCTTTGCTTTGCCAGCTGCCGCCCGGCTGTTTACGGCGGGAACAGCAGCGTGGCGTGGGCCGTGGCGGCTGGGGACACCGGGGAGCTGCAGGGACACTGCCTTCCACCACCCAGCCACCAGAGTCCAACAGGAGCCTCCCTAGCCCCAAGGTGGGGGACCCAAACTCGGGGGACGCCTCATGGCCGGGAAGGGGCTGCGTTGGGGCAGATGGTGTTCTCTGGGTTACCCTGGGCTTTCCCGGGGTCCTTCTCCTGGCCCCAGGTGAGCAGCAGCAGGTCACGGGGACAATGTGCACAGCTCCCAGATGGGGACCCCCATGAGGGTAAGGAGCACCTGAATGTTGGGGTGATGGTGCCAAGGAGACAGGCACAGCCTGTGTGGCCAGCCCAGGAGGGCGCACAGGGAAACTGAGGCAGGGGTTGCTCAGTGGCCCCGTCAGGGGGAAGCCACAGCCAGAGCCACAGCTCCTCCAGGGGCATCTGCCCCGTGTGCCACTGCTTTCCTGGCCTCAGCACTGGGCTGTGGGAGCCCAAAACGGGTCCAGTGCCTCCACGGACTGTACATGGCCAGGCTCTGTGCCCACCCAGAGTCACACCCCCAGCACGTGCCATTCACACTTACACCCTGTGCACACAGACAGGCGCCCAGGTGCCTCACAACAGCTATCCCCCCCTCGTGCCAGGCACCCTGATACCCCTGTGCCCCCCCAGAGTCCTGTGCACACCCAATACCATGGGCACACTCATCCCCACTCCTCATACCCCACGCTACGCACACCCTTCTCCCCGTGCACACTCGCTCCATGCCCCATGTACGCTTACCCGTGCCATGCACACTCATCCTACACCCTGTGTATTCAATCTAGGTCCCAGGCACGTGCAGTCCACACTCACCTACAGTACACACTCACCTCACACCCCACGCACACTCGCACGAGGCTGTGCATGGTCACCCCACACTCCATGCACACTCACCCTCACCACTCCCCCTTCCTCCATGCTCCGTGCACACTTGCCCCATGTCATTCACACTATGTACCTATGGACACTCAATCCACGCACACCCATCCCACGCACTCAACTCCGCCGTGCACGCTCGCCCACTCAGTGTATACTCACCATGTGTTGCACACCCCTCCATACGCATGCATGCTGTGCACGCTCACCCATGGCGTGCACAGCCACCCCACACCCGGTGCCATCACCCACACTCTGAGCAGGCTCAGGCTGCACACATTCACCCACACTTGTGTACACACATCCCACACCTCGCACACTTCCCCACATTGTGCACACTCACCCCACACTCTATGCACACTCCTCCATCCTGTGCACACTCACCTCACGCCCACAGCACCCTGCCCCGTGCACTGCACACTCCGCCAAATCCCCACAAGTAATCCCCCACTCCACGTACTCCCACCCCACGCACCGTCCCCCACACTGTGCACACCTGCCCCCACGCCAGGCACCCTCAGCCCTCACCACACTCAATCCTCACACCATGCACGCTCATCCCACGCCGTGCACACTTACCCTACTCCTCCACGCAGCGCACACCCACCACACACACTTCTCCACGCTGTGCACACTTACCCCACGCACCGTGTACACTTCCCCCACCCCCCGCAGCAAACACTTCCCCCTGCTCCCCGTGCACACTCCCCCCACCCCTCGTGTGCACTCTCCCACGCCGCCCCTACTTCCCCACGCCGTGCCCACTCCCCCTCTACTCCCTGTGCCCACTCCTCCTCTACTCCCTGTGCCCACTCACCCACGCTGTGCCCACTGCCCCTCTACTCCCCGTGCCTGCTCACCCACGCCGTGCCCACTGCCCCCTACACCCCCTTCTACTCCCCGTGCCCGCTCACCCACGCCGTGCCCACTGCCCCTCT